AACAATACTACTGGCCGGGCTGCAAACTCATCTGCAAATATCTCGCGCGATATATGAGAAGAAGTTAATTAAGGCTGACCGGTTTTGTAGTCGCTTATCGTCGTCGCGGCGCATCTGCTTCTTCTCTACTGACGCAAGTGAAACTTTTCCTCGCTGCCGCGACACGCCACTACAAAGAAGTTGATAAAGGAAGACAACTCTTTTTACACCGAATCATTAATTACGTTGGCTTCCGGAACATTAATTAAACAAAACACTAGTCGTTATATCGTTATCTTTTATTAATATCCTCCAGAGTATCTTTAATTAATGTTCTAATTCTTTATGACATTATTATTACTATTATTTTTAATATTAAGAGTCTAGATCTAATTTATGGATAATTTATGGATTTATAGATTCATAGATTTATGGATTCATATGCTGTCTTTTTCAAGCAATTTAAATATTAAAATTTTATTCAAAGATATATAGAGCGAGCTGGAACATATGATACAAGACAGATTATCCAATATGAAAAGATAAATCGAAAAGGTGTAGAATAAAATTTTTTTGTATAATGTTTTGTTTCTAAAATAATCGAATTTGAAAATTGTCTAACTTGTACGCGTGCATTTGTCTAACTCTCGATTTAAAGGATTACGCCTAACTAATTCTAATTATTTTTATATTTTTATCTTATTGTTTTTTGTAATCATTGGCACATATTTATAAATGTTTCATGCTTCGATGATTTCAATAATTCATCAAACATATATTAATAATTGTAATTATTAACTATTAAAATTGCTAAAAATATTTTATAACTTATTATTATTCATAACACAGTTGTATGTAATGAAATCCGTTAAGTCAAATCAATAGAATTCGTAAAGTCAGACAAATGCATGTGTATCCGACAAACTTTCAGATTCGATTATCTCAGGAACAAAATATCATACACAAAGGTTTTATTTTACACTTTCGACTTATTTGTCCATAAACCATGAATAATCTCCTGTCTGGTTACTCGCTCATCTTGGCCTACTCTATATAACATGATTTATCAAACTAAAGAAACTTTTTTGCAAATTTTGCAATTTTATGATAAATTTTCTTCTTTTTATTTCACAAAAGAAGGCACGCGTATATAAGTAACTTAAGCAACTTAAGCAACTTAATCGAGTATATTCAATTGCACTTCTATGCACGTCTCGCATACACCAAATTCCAAAAAAGCATGTTCTCTTGCGAGACGTAAAAGCACTAGTAGAATTTACGAGCTGTGTCAGTATTAACATTTTTCGCATGTCATATACATTAAAAAGACGATGAAACTCGCTCGCCTTCTTCTTATGAGTTCCTAAAACGCCAACAAAATTTATGAGACGTATGGCATTTTCATAACGCTGTGTATACGCGCGTTAATACCGTAAAAGTTCATTCTTATATAGAACTTCTTTGATTGCATGGGGAATATGTCGAGAGGGGAAAAAGGATATCACAAGAGCCGCGTTTAATTAAAAATTTTTTTCTAAAAATATAGAACAGATTAATTATTATTAATTAATGGTAATCTCCTATTTAAAAAAATTTTTTATTAGACATTTTTTTTTTCATTGCGCTTGAAAATTTCAATTTACTACTCATTGTCACAGGAAGCAACGTGTTGCGTGAAAGCATAACGTGAGCAATATTACACTCGATACTATAATATTCTATTATTAATATATTATAATTATCGATCGTGAATATAATGAAATCGACACACAACATCTAACACTTAATTGATATTTATTAATCGTGAGAAACGTGCGAATAACAGAGCATTTATTTCGCTCACGTTTTAATGGATTTGTCATGTGAGCAATTAATTAGAGTCAATAACACTGAATTCATATTAATTATTATTAGTGAGCTCTGACAAAGGATATTATGTTTTTAATTAAACGGGTTAACAAGTTACCAGTGACAAAATTAGATATAAGAAGCGCACGATAAAATTTATAATAAGTTATTTTTAGTAAAATTTATTTATAGTAAAATTTATAGTAACAATATTTATATTTAATTCATACAATCGTTTACTTCGCGATCGAAAATGCATATCGATATACGGCGATATAATAAAATCGATATAGAAAGAATACGCACAGCGTTCTCATCTCTAGAATAGATCCACGGGAGAGAAACCGGATGAGAGCACGGGGGAAGATATCCCCCCGTGAATTACTCGTAAAATTGACTGACAGAAAGAGGCTGATTCAAACAGAAAACGTCGTAACACGAGAAATCTCTCACGTCGCTCTTGAATCATTCTCCTCGGACGAGAGGAAACTCGGACTCTAACAAAGTGCCGCGCAAAAAGATTCAGACGTCAAGAAATTCCGGGAGAATTGGAGCGCAAGGAGAATTCAGTGGCCTCTGGGAATGAGCGGAAGGAAGTTTTCTGCAACATTAGTCTTGCGGCAACGTTAGTCTTGTTCGTGTTTGATTTCGGTAGATGAGTGTCGAAAAAATGCTGGCAATTGCCAAACTGGCAAGGTGTAATTTATATGTACGTAACGATTATCATGAATATGTTATGGAGTATTATA